ATTATTTCATTTACAGAAAAGCTTTAAGGAAAAGCAAGATGGGGCATGTGCCAAAGACGGAGTTAGGAAAGCCAACTCTTGGAGGCTATATGGTTGAGCAGGTTTGATTGGCCTTTGCAAGCCATCCTGAACCTGGAGCGGGGAGTGGGGGAAAGTTGGTCTGCCTTACCAATTATTGGAAAGAATAAGCAAGTTAGGAGGGAGAAGGGCACCTGGGGGAAATTAGGCAGGGATTATTTTAGCTAAGGGTTCTCTCTCAAACCTACTAATACTACAATATTCAAAAGTAGGGGCAACTTCAGTTTATGTAATTCTTACATTCCAGCTTCTACTGGATTTGAAAATATGATTAAATATAGTATGTATAAACCTACCCAATGATAAGCATGTTAGAGTTCCTTTCAACCATATGATGAAATGTTGGTATAAAGAAATTATTGACCAGTTTTTCTTCATCTTCCCAAAAAATCAAAGGAAATAACTACATGTCAATGTCCAAAACAGAGAATAATACTATAAAAAATTTAATCATATTCTGTGAAGGGGTGGGGAAACTGCTGCCTTCTGACTTCAAGATTGTTCTTTTGTAAGCACCAAAGGAGGCAAGAAAAGATTCATCTTTCTCTGCTGCAACCCTTTTAACAAAAGGATTTGTTCTGTAAAATTTGGATCCAGTCAAAAGGCTGCATTTAAGGAGCCAGAAGGTCACATGTGGCCCCAAGGCCACGGGATTCCCGCCCCTTCAATTTTAAGACTTTAAGAACACCAAATATATGCAGATACTAAATGCAAACTACAATATTAAATACTAAATTCTCTCCACTTCTATAAAGTTTTATATTGGCATTCTCTAGAGAAATACAACCAATTATATCTATTATACTTATCTATGATATAATATATAATTACTTATATATTTACTTACAGTAATTGGCTCACATGACTGTGGGAGCTGGCAAGTCCAATATCTGTAGGGCAGGTTAGCAGGCTAGAAATTCAGGCAGAATTTCTATGTTACAGTCTTAGGGCAGAATTCCTTCTTCTGCAGGAACCCTGAGTTTTTGCTCTTAAGAACTTTGACTGATTGGATGAGGCCCACCCACATTATAGAGGGTTAGCTCCTTCACTTAAAGTCTATAGATTGTAGATGTAAATCATATCTGCAAAGTACCTTCACAGCAACATCTAGACTAGTGTTTAACCACACAACTGGGCACCATATCCTAGCCAACTTGACACATCAAATTTAACCATTGCAAGCTCCAAATACTCTTTGGCTCAAACCTTTTCAGAAACATGACATATGAGTCAACATGGTATGGGGACCCCCTGCTGTCAGCCACCCTCCTAACCCTGAGAGCCCCTTCCCCCGGGGGCGGAAGATGGGAAGAAACCCTCCATGTTTCACACACTCCTCACTTGCCTTTAAGCACCATTTCTAAATACAGGGTTGGCTTCTTTTTGTTGCACTCCCAAGTAGTCACTTCCTCGTGGCAGTTCTCCTGTGTCTCCTCCCCATCCCCATGAGCATGCTATCCAAGTCTTCTTTCTACAGTTCCTGCAGGTCTGTCAAACTCAATGCTCTGTTACAGTACTGATTTCATTGAGAATTTAGAAGAAGACAATCTGATTAAAGAAAATCATGAAGACAGCAAATGACCAGTGAAGACCATGGACACTGGAGTGGAACTGGGTTCAGATTCTAATACCACCACTTACTACCTGTGTGACTTTGATGACATCACTTGTAATGCTCCTGAATCTCAATTTCCTCATCTGTAATACGGGGATAATAATTATAATTCCTTCCCTAAAAGGTTGATGCGAGGTGCTTTGAACTCGGCTTTGAGTACTTAGTAATTATTTATACTTTTAAGTTAACAACTACAAAGCCGAGGACTATCTATCATCCGGGAGAAAATGTTAGTGAAGATGTTCCTCCTGTATTATTTAAACCATATTAACACCAGGTGAAGGTTGGCCCTGAGCCTTTCTGTCCAAAGATAGTTTTAGTTTCTGTTTATGATAGTCAGGATTTTATATCTTCCCTCTTCACACACTCTAGGGGTTAAGCAGTCAGAGTTTGATACTACTGAGAATCTCAAAACAATTACCCCTAAAACATTTCATCATACAAGTAACAAAGAGTAAGATAAATGATACTTACTGAAAGCTTTCTATGTGCCAATCCACATATATCATCTGATTTAAGGCTCATAATATCCCTGTAAAACAGATATATCATTCTTAATTTAGAGAGGAGAAAACTAAGGCTTAATATTTAAATAGCTTGGCTCAAATTATGGAGCAGAATCAGAGTTGTCCAGCTTCAAAGCCAAACTCTTGCCAGTTACACTATGATACTTTCCTCAAAAGGGTCAGACCTTGACATATTTCTTGTAGGCTGTTGGCTCCTGTATTTTCTAAAATTATTTTTCACATATTTGAGAAATGTTCTTAATTCTTTTATTTTACCAAATTGAATTCTCAATTCTACAATGCTGCTCAGGACATTCAACGAAGGGTACTGTGAAGTGAGCAGGAGACCTTGAATTGTACATGCTTGAATTATGAAGCCTAAGAATTAATGGGAAAATAGGTTTGAAGTTCTTGATTTTTCGTTGTTTCTAAATTAAATCACTGTTTATAAAGAATGTATCAGTGAAAGATGCAGAAAAAGATGCTTCTTTTCCTTTATTCTTAGACTCAAGTAAACATTTAACAATACAGTTTACAAAAACCCCATAGCATGATTCAAATGAGTAAGATTGTGAAGATAGAATTCATCACAATGAATGGTCTCATGGCCAATTCATTTAGTTATGCCTTCAAATTTTTGCTTTAACAGACTCATCATCCATCCATCTACTCACAGTTTCAACCAACCATCCATTCAACACATATTTAACGAATTGAGACCCACTATATGGTAGGTATTGTTCTAGGTGCTTAAAGTGCATGAAGAGGGTTGAGATTGTGGTAATCAAATAAACAAATGAATAAAACAAGATGATTTCAGGTGCTGTAGGTGCTGTAAATGGAATATAATGTGAGGATATAGGGTTTAAGGGGGAGAGGCTACTTGAGGTAGGGTGAGGAGGGAAGAGCTCTCTCAACAGTTGGCATTTGAGTTGCGACCTGTATAAAGAAGATCCAGAGTTTTTCAAAGCAGAAAAAAGAAATCCCAGGCATGGAAAGTTCTAACAATTCGAATCACCAAGATCAGAAAGAAGGCAGTATGGCTGGATCCAGAGGGGTGGTATGAGGCAAAGTCAGAAAGGTGTACCTTGTACTATGGGAAGGAGTCTGACCGAAGGGGATCTCAATTATAATCCAAGCACAATGGAATCCATATTGCAGGCTCTAAACAGAAACTAACATGAGTTGAGTCGGCTTTGAAACATCAATCCAGATGCTTGGTTGAGAATTACTTAGAAAGGGGCAAGAGTGGAGGCAGGGGAACTGGTTAGGGTGAGATTGCTCACATTGAGGAAAAAGAAGACTCCAAAGACTCATAACAAATGTTAATGGTTAAGGAGGCTTCATTGGTGAAAGGAAGTAGAATTTATTTTTAACAGTGTCTTCATTTACATGCAATATCTCTGCTATGAAATAAATTGTTTTATTGTTATTTTGTCAGAGATAGAGATGATGGTGTGGCTGCGGATTAGCAATTATATATAACTCTACTGTATACTAAAAAGGTATTTTACTGTTGCTGCAAAGGGCCACTCTGCAGACCTTTTGGTCTTCCCTAAAGGAGAGGAACAGTATCTAGGAAATTAATTCTTCCCTCCGGACGAAATGCAAAATTGCAGAAACCATTTGCTAAATAGGGCGAGCCAGTCTTAAGAGGCCAGAGAGTCCTTCCTCAGGCGTACTTTATTAAAGGCCATTTATCAATTTCTACCGATTATTGTGGATAATTGAAGGGAAATCTGCGACTACAGCGATTTACTGGCATTTTCTTTGGACTCAGACAGAAGCTGGTTTTGAAAGTGGTATCCGTAGGGTGGCCCTGCTTGCAAACTTCCTAGCTTAGGGGTGGTGGTGGAGCGCTGGGAGGTGGTGAGGTTTCAGCCACCCGGTCTTTCTGCTCATAAATCAGCATCGTAAAACATCCTGCAAGTGTTATGGTGGCGCTGAATGTATAAAAAGGGTTCACAAGCCGAATCTATTGTCGTCATTCCTGGTGGCAGAGGGGAGTGACAAGACGCTCACACGTCGCCGAGGAGTAGCGCGGCATAATAAAGCGCGGTTTGCACCATGTGTGTCACAGATTTCTCGGGTATTCTCGAAGGTCTTTCCAAGTTCCGCCTTCTCCCCCTTTGCAGTCAGCCTGGCCCCAGCTGTGCATCGCCCTTTGACTCCATCTGTCCTTCTGCAGGGGCCGAGTCTCTCTCGCCAAATGGAGAACACAAGTTTGACTCCCTAAAGTGATTATAACCCCCACTTTCTCTGCTCAGCCCGAGCCAAGCATCAGGCCCGCTGGAGGGACGTCCGGAGGACCGGGGAAGGGGGGTCGGGGAGGGCGTGGAGAGGCCGCGTCCCTCACCTCCCACACCCCCGCCCATCACCACTTGGCTTGCCACGCCTGGGCAGACGCCCGCCTGCGCGTCCCCGACCCGCCCCCGGTCAGATATCCAGGTCCTTTCCCATTTGATCCTGTTCGGCCCTGCTGCAGAGGTGCAGCTCGCAGGTTGGAGTTTGCCCTCGTGTGCGCCGCGTCACTCGGAGGGGAAGGGAGGGGAGAGAAGGGGAGACGGCGGAGGCTAGGTCACCGGGGAAGTCGCTGGGTCCTCGGCTGGAGACGCCGCGGGGAGCGACCGCCCCGCCCCCGGAGCAGCCCACATCGCCGCAGCGCCCCTCCCTCCTCTTGCCTCAGGCCCCGCGCCCCTACTCGCTGCCTCCCCGCCCTTACTCCACCCCTTCTCCGGCCGATCCCCATCCTCTCCTTGTGTGCGCGCGCTTTAAATAATTTCCTCCTTTTTGGCAAAACAAATAATGCACCTGACTTTACCAGGGGGAAACGACCAGCCGAGCAAAACAAGGAACAGATGTAAAAAGAATAAAAGGAGAGAGAAAAAGAGATGAGACTCGTTTAAAGAAATCCAGGGGCTGAAGAGGTGGCTGCAGCGGCAGAGGCAGCTAGAGCTTCCTTGCTGCGTGAGCTGCAGGCAGAGGACGTTTTCACCAGTTGCAGATGTAACCTCGGGAACTCCTGGGTCTGTCGGTTTGTTTGCCAAACAAAGTCTTTTCTTCTTTGGCTCAGACACTGAAGAGGCTCCTGGATTTTTCTGCGATCCCACCACAAGCTGGCAGTTACCCGGGAGCCTTCCCGAGGAGCTGGCGGAGATATGAGCCCTTCTGGGCGGAAGATGGGCGAAAGGCGTCAGCAGCGGGGCCCTCCCGTCGGGAAGAGCCTCCTGCTCCCCGGGAGGAGAGGGTCACCCCGCGGGCGGCCGGGCGGCGGCGGCGGCGGCGGCGCTGGGGCGCAGCGCTCCCTGCTCGGGCTCTTCGTGCACGTGTGGCTGTGGGCGGCCTCGGGCTCGTCTGCCCAGTTGTTCAACCTCAGCCTTTCCGTGGACGAGGGCCTTCCCCCGGACACGCTGGTGGGTGACATCCGCGCTGGGCTGCCAGCCGCGCAGCAGCAGGAGGGGAGCGGTTTCTTTCTGTCCGAGGACTCGGATGACTCCCCGCTGCTGGACGACTTCCATGTGCACCCGGACACCGGTATCATCCGCACCGCGCGGCGCCTGGACCGCGAGCGGCGGGACCACTACAGCTTCGTGGCCGCCACGCTGCTGGGCGCCGTAGTGCAGGTGGAGATCCGCGTCAACGACGTGAATGACCACTCGCCCCGCTTTCCCCGGGACTCCCTGCAACTCGACGTCTCCGAGCTCACCCCTCCAGGCACCGCATTCCGCCTACCAGGTGCCCACGACCCTGACGCGGGGCTGTTCAGCACACAGGGCTACACCCTGGTGCAACCGTCCAACCTGCTCCAGGACCCCGAAGGGCCGTTCTTCCAGTTGCGCTATGGGACTCCGGGGCTACCACCGTCGCCGCTTTTGCCCGGCTCCTCGTCGCCCCTAGAGCCCCTAGACCTGGTGCTGCTGCGGCGCTTGGACCGAGAGGCGGCGGCGGCGCACGAGCTGCAGATCGAGGCGTGGGACGGCGGCCGCCCGCGGCGCACGGGCCGCCTGCGCGTGGAGCTGCGCGTGGTGGATGAGAACGACAACCCGCCGGTCTTTGAGCAGGGCGAGTACCGCGCAGCAGTGCGCGAGAACGCCCCGCCGGGCTCCGAGGTCTGTCGCGTGCTGGCCACCGACCGCGACCTGGGGCCCAATGGCCACGTGCGCTACAGCATCCGCGCCCGGCAAGTGCCCGGGGCGAGTGGTGGGGGCGGGCCTCTGGGCGACGCGGCCTACTTCGCGGTGGAGGAGCTGAGCGGCGTGGTGCGAGTGCTGAGACCTCTGGACCGCGAGGCGCAGGCCTGGCACCAGCTTGTGGTCGAGGCCCGCGACGGAGGCGCTGAGCCTGAGGTCGCTACCGTGCGCGTGTCCGTCGCCGTGCTGGACGTGAATGACAACCCGCCCGCCATTCATCTACTCTTCCTCACCGAGGGAGGCGCCGCCAGTGTCTCTGAGGGCGCCCAGCCGGGCGACTACGTGGCTCGCATCTCCGTGTCCGACGCGGACGGTGAACCGGAGAAGGAAGAGGAGGCCACTGGGCAGTTCGGTGTGGGCCTCGGAGGCGGAAGCATCTCGCTGTCTTTGGAAGGCGGTGAGGGAGCCTTCGCACTGCGGCCGGGCGGCCCCCCGGGGGTATTTTTTCTTTGCGTTGAGGGGCCCCTGGACAGGGAGAGCCGCGATCTGTATGAATTGCGTCTGGTGGCCACCGATGCGGGGTCACCGCCTCTGAGCACGGAGGAGACGCTGCTGCTCCGGGTGGCCGATCTCAACGATCACCCTCCTCTCTTCAGCCAGGAGCATTACTGGGCCTCAGTGTCTGAGGCCGCGGCCCCTGGCACCGCAGTCGTGTGGGTCAGCGCCACTGATGCCGATGAGGGTGGCACTGATCACGCCTCCCTCCGCTACACGCTAATCCAACTCTCGGCTGCTCCCTGCAACCCAGACGCTCTGCCCACGGCAGAGTGTGGACCGTCTTTCACCATCGATCCCAAAAGCGCTGTGATCAGCACCATCCGGACTCTAGACCGAGAGGTCCAGGAGGCGGTGGAACTGAGAGTGGTGGCCCAGGACCTCGGAGAGCCTCCGCTCTCTGCCACCTGCCTGGTGAGCATCACTTTGGATGACGTGAATGACAACGAGCCCATCTTCCAGAGGCAAGTGTACAATGCCACCCTTGAAGAGCATGCCCCAATCGGACACTGCTTTCTGCAGGTGAGTGCGTCAGGCCTGGGGGCCAACCAGAAGGCCTTTGAAGGGATGGAGAAGGTTGGGAGTGGGCCTGGGAAATTGTGATATGGATGAGTATATTCTGGCTGCCAAACCAGGAGACAGGCTGTGGTTCCCTCTCCACAGTGAGATAGATGAATGTGTGCCCTCTGATCACCTGACCTTCCTCCAGGGTCTTGGCTGCATGATCTCTAAGTTCCTTTCTGCTTCATATCACATTTAGATCTTGATTTTTCTTACGGAAACTGGGTCTCCTTCATGCTGGATGTGTGCACCTAAATTGGCTTGGGAGGAGCCATGCACTCTAAATCAGATCACATGCAATTGGCAACGACTCCTATTTTTGAACAACTTTACGTGACATCCTAAGGAAGAAGGTAGCCCTTTGACTTTTTCAAACGACCAAGGGTATGTCTCTAAACATTGAAACTGTTTTGAGCAACCATTTCCATTTACGCATTTTCCTGCTTTCTTTAGAAGCTTACAGAGGTTGGGTGAAGACTCAACTCATCATTATTAGCGTTAGTTGTGGGCTGAGCTTCTCCGTGATGCCGTCAGGACTCTGAGGAGCAGTGGGATTCAATCATCCTTTATAAAATGGGGCATGGGGCACTGCACCCTGCTTTTTGACTTGGGTGTGTTGCCTTTCAGCGTCCTTCTGATCTCTCCTCCACTGTCAGAATGGCTGGTTTTGCCCACTTCTAGCCACTCCTTTTTGCTTGTGGTTTCCTATTTCTTATCTCGTGTGAAATAATCAGATTCCCAAGATTGATTGATTTACTCCAAAATAACTTGAGTAAATAGAGCCTGAGGAGCTAAGTGGTAAGTGAAGCTGCAAAGCTTTGTTTAGCTCTCGGCCTGGGTTGTTTTAAGGCCTCTATTGCTTACTTCCTGGTCCTGAGCTAAGGGGTTGAGGCTTTAGCCAGCAAAGTTATGTCTCAAATAATAACCTTTAGATAAGTGAGGTGTGACTATATTGTAAAAATGGGTTTCATGACTGCTTCTTTCATCTTAATTCTTTGGGTATGTGGGTAATAACAATCCCTGTTCCCTTCTGTAGCATGATTGGCAACTCTGCGTTGCTAAGTTATTAAAAGGTGGCTTGAAAATTAATTAATAATTGCTGCTGAAACAGACAAATCCAAAAATGTCAGTGACTAAAATTATCAAAGTGTATTTCTCTCTCAAGCAGAGTCTAATATGTGATGCAGGTTGGCTGGTTCTCCTCCATCGAAGAGAGAGCCAGGTCTGGGAGTGACTCAGATTACTTCCGCCAACGTCGCATTGGCCAGAGCACAGCCATATGGCCTCAGATGTGTTGCAGCAGAGGCTGAAAAATGTAGAGGAGCCTGGGGATGCCAGTGTCCACCGATAGTTCCTGCCAGGGATTTCTAAAAATGAAGTCATAATAGTTTAGAGGTTGGACTAGAGGATTTCCAAGATTTCTTCCATCTGGAAGACCCTAAGGATCTTGGTAGAAATAGTACAACTCGGCTCCATTTGAAGGAAAATAAGCAGGGTGGATTAATTGTGATTCTTTTGAGTAGAACTTGTCTTTAGGATTGTTTCTAACATTGTGAGATGATTCTGCAATGAGGTGTGAGTTTATCCCATTATTATGGCTCCGTATGTGGTAGATCCATTATAGGGAGCTGAGCTTGGCTCAAGTGTAGGACTGTACCTCCAACAATTGCAACAAAACCTCCCTAGGTTGCCAAGTATTGCTCCAGACAGTATTAAATTGTGCTGATTAGAATTTCTGGAAATTCCAGCGATCTAGTCCCTTAAGATTTGCAGAAACCCTCTTACTCACTAGGCTCTCTGTGGCCTGTCCCCAGCAGCTACGTGTACTTTCTGTGTTCCGTAAGCCCCTCCAGCTGACTGTCTCCTGACTTCCAGGTGAGCTTCACAGAAGCATCATTTTCTTTCTCTCTGCTCCTAATCTTTCTTTGTACCACTTCGCAGAAACTGACCTCCTCATCTAACCTTTGCATTGCATGACCTCCTTTTTGTTCCAGGGATTTGTTTAATTGCATTCTATAAATTCTTTTTAACTTTACCTTCTTTCTCTTGGTCTGTGCCAGTTTTCCCCCTTTAGACCTCATATCTGCTCAAGTTTCCTTTGTCAAAATCAAACAAAACCAAATGAGAAACAACTGGAAAAATACTCTTTCCTAGATTCCCTGTAAGAGAATGGCATGTCATCTGATAAAAGAAATCAACAAACCTTTGAACTTCAAGGTGTCTTGGTGGCTTCTCCACTCTGCATCCACAATGCTTGCCATCCTTTGGCTCTTGTAGCTCCTGCTGCCACCACAGTGCTGGCCACTGTCCCCAGTGCTGCCTGAACGCTTTTATATTCTCATGCCCAAATCAGAACTTTCCAAAGACTTTGAATGTGGGACAGAAGAAAGAGAATTAACACAGAGTAGCAGAACCATTAGTGGCCCAAGATAGGTAACCTCTAGCTCCAAAAGGTTTCTACAACTTTGTACGCATTTGCCTGGATTTCTTAATAACTTGCTCCCCACCTGCCCCCAGGTGGAGAGCCTCTTCTTAACTCATCTTTCAGGTGCTCTTTTCAATCTCTTGATGCTTTTATAGTTAAGGCAGGGAGGGAATTCTACTCTGCAGACACTCAGGAGTTTTCCTCCAGTTCTAGTGTTTGGCCCAAAAGATTTCATTTTTCCTCAGATTGTTATCAAAAAGATCAACTTCAACCTTTATACAAGACCTCCATCCTCCACCCCACATTAAGTCCAATGATGTGAGCTGCACTTACAGTACTGGACAGTATAACTCCAGCATTCATATCTGAATTACATGTGATAACAAGAAGATTATTCTTTCATATTCTCTCAAATACAAGCACTGTGTTCATTCATTAATTCATTTATTGAATCAAACAACAAAATTCACTGGATAAACAATATTCAATGAACCAATATTTATTGAGTGTCTATTGCATGCCAGGAACTGTTCTTGGTGCTGGGGACCGCAGTGAGCAAAATGGCCAAGGTCCCTGTGCCAGCAGGGCTTGCAATCTTGTTTTCCATATCCTTCCTTTCGCTGTCAGTCCTCATGAATGAATGACAGGTGCCCGGCTTCCACTTGCTGATCACTCCTTGTCTAGCAGTTCTGACCTTTTCCCATCACTCTGCTAAATTCTGCCTCTCCAAAGGCATCTATCTGTGTCTTTTATTTCAAATCCAATGAGCTTTTCTTAGCTATAACCTCCCTCATGCTCCCTGAAGCATTTGGACTGTTGCCCACTTCCTCTTTCTTGAATGCATCCATTTCACTGCCTTTTGTCTCCTTATGTTCTCTTTCTGCCTCTCTTGCTTTTTCCTCCTTTCCTTCTTGTGCCACCCCACACTCAATGTGGTGGAGGCATTTCCAAAGGTTCGGTCTTCCTCTCACTTCCCTCTTTTCTATACTTTCTTCTTATATATTCCCAAAAGTTCAATTAAAAAAAAATCTACAAAAAATCTACAAAATCAACCGCCCTTATATGCTCCAGATGAGCATTTTTCTGTATATTGTATATTGTATGTATCTCTACCTGGATGTGTTTTTGGCACCTCAAATCTAACATTTCCCAAACTGACCTCATTTCCCTTCTACTATTTTTCTTTCTTTTCTTTTTAACCTTCATCATTTAGCTCCTTTTTGAAGCTTTCCTGTTTTGTTGATGTGTCTCTTTCTATAGATGTGTTTATGCATTTGGGGTGTGTGTGTGTGTGTGTGTGTGTGTGTGTGTGTGTGTACATATTTGCCATTTGCTGGGGTGGTTATGTTTTGCATTGTTGAAAGTTACAAGAATAAATAGGAAGATCATGTCCCATGTCAATAAGTTGGATAAAAAGTGGGTCTTGAGTTTCCAAAGTGGGGCTGTGGAAGAGAGCATCTGGCTGTGTGTGTTTATTCACATTTGTGGTCTGAATCTGAGGAAGCTATCTAGGTGGGGTGCCTGGGCAGTGGCCATTAGAGACAGTATCTACCATCTGGGAAGACGCCAGGAGACAGGAAGGCCTGATTCCTACTGTGTTCCACATGCTGAAAAGGTCTAAACCTGCAGCCCCCAACCCCTGGGCCACGGACTGTACTGTTCTGTGGCCTGTTAGGAGCCTCACAGCAGGAGGTGAGCAGCTGGTGAGCCAGTGAAGCTTCATCTGTATTTACAGCCACTCCCCACTGCCCATTGTTTGCGTCACTTCCTGAGCTCCACTGCACCCCATCCCCATCCGTGAAAAAACTGTCTTCCATGGAACTGGTCCCTGGTGCCGGCTGGTCTAAACTGTACCTTGTTTATGATATATGGTATCTCTTAGGATTAATCCCTTTTTACTAATCTCCCAGCCTTTGGTAAAGTATTTCTAAATGTGTTAGCTTGTCTTAGTTGTAACCGTGGGGGTAAAAATGGAGAACCCAAAGCAGGGGTGTTATGATTTAAGGGAAGGGTTATCAGCTTTAGTCAAAGTGTCCAAGACAAGTGGCCTCTCTCCTGAGGTCTGAGTGCTGATTGTGGTAGGAATCAGCAAGGGGCTGAGGTAAATTGGTTTAGGAACAGTGTGGGGCTCTTTCTCCCAACTGGCTTTCCTAGTGCCTGCTTTAGAAGTAAGAAACTTTATTAAGAAAGAAAGAGTTTCCTAAAATCTTAGTGCCATCTTTGATTTTCATCAGATTTGACCTAGTAGTTAGCAAGGCCTTCAGTATTTCTTACATCATTCCTCCTTTTTACATCATGAGCCTGGTTTTGTCCATATCGCTTCTTGCCTACCATTGCCTGCTCTTCAAACTGGAAAGCCGTAGGCATTTCTCAAAGGCTCCCTCTTCCCACTCCTAACAATGCATTCTTATTCTGTCCAGCTCTTTTCTTCATGTCCGTTGTGGTGCTACAGTTGTTTATTTGTATTAGTAAAAACAATGGATTGTGAGTACCATTGAAGGATTGTAATTTACTGGTACTTGAGTCCCCTGTAATT